GCTCCAGAGAGCCGGGCGGTTTTGGCCCCCCAGGGCCTAATCCCATAAAACTGGGCAATCCCAGCCCCTGCCCACCACGTCCCAATCCCATAAAACTGGGCGATCCTGCCCCCCCCCCTTCCCCCGAAGTCCCAAAGGGCGATCCTGGCCCCCAGCTCCCAATCCCATAGGACTGGTCATCCCAGTCCCCCCTCAGCTCCCGGTCATCCCAGTCTTCCCTAGTTCCCAATCCCTTGGAACTGGACAATCCCAGTCTTCCCCAGATCCCAATTCCATGGGACTGGGTGATCCTAGTCCCCCCTAAATCCGAATTCCATAGGGCTGGGTGATTTTATCCCACCCAGCTCCCATTTCCACAGGACTGTGTCTTCCCAGCGCCCCCCAGCTCCCAATCCCATAGGACTGGACTATCCCAGGTCTCCCCTCGACCTCCTAGGGCCGGTCAGACTGAGGTCCCCCAAATCCTCACCCCATCAGGCAGGTGCTTTTCTCACCCTCCTCCTCCTCCTCCTCGCAGGGTGGCTACTTCCCGGAGCACGTGAAGGCGATGACCAGCCTGCGCTGGCTGAAGCTGAACCGCACGGGGCTCTGCTACCTGCCTGAGGAGCTCGCTGCCCTCCAGAAGCTGGTGAGCAGCACGTTTCGGGCAGGGGATGGGGCTCGACAGCTCCTGCTGGGACTGTGGGGTCAAACGGGTCCCTGCGTAGCGGTGCCGGGAGCCTGGTGCCTGCCAGCCTCATGGCTCATCGGCAGATGCTCTGGTGTCTAATAATAGGGCTGAGCTAGGATGTGTGGTTGCAACTAGATGCAGGAGCTGTTAGGAGTGAGGTTGAGACAGGCTTGTACTTGGTTTCACCTTGTTTTCCTAGAAAACCAGACTAAAAACCATGTTTAAATCATCTGCCCTTTAATAGAAGGGAAGGGTGAAGGTTTAGTATGGGGAGAATTAAAGTTTTGGAGCTTTTTTTCCTCCTCCTTTGCTAAAAGAGCAGGAGCTGGCAGCTGCCTGGCTTTATTTTTTGGGAAGCTCAAGTTTTGTGCACAACCAGGCCCTTGGTGGAGTCAGTGGCTAAGCTTTGCTTTGGCGGTGTCCTGTGACACGTTATGGACGTTGTTAAATCGGTGTCAGACAAACACAACACTTTAAAAGTCCTCGTCCCCGTGCCAGGTGCTTACTGCTCGGCGGCAGCATGTGGGGCAGTCCTGCGTGCTGCTCGGAGCCACGCTCCCCCCATTCCTGCCAGATGCTCAGGGGCCATGATTAGACATAAAACCTGTTGTCTCACCCACAGCCTGCCAATTCCTCATTTTCTTGAGCAGGTAACAGCCCAGAAGAAAACATAAATTCACCCCCAGGCCTTCCTCCTACCCTGCCAGTCCCCACAGGTCTGCCCATTTCCAGATCACCCAGTGAAAAGTGTTTACAAGAGGTGGGGTCTGTCTGCTTGAGGGCTGTACAGGACTGCCACAAGCTGGCTCAATAGCAGCCTAGACACCCCAAACCCTGCAGCAGGGCTGGGGTGTCTCAGTCAGGTCTGCCCCAAGGAACGAGGGATGCAGAGGCAGCATGGGCATGCTGGGGCCAACCAACTAGTTTGAAACAGGGAGTGTCCCAGCAGCTTCGTGTGGGTCAGGGCTGAACTCATCTCAGCAAGGCCCCAACTCTCTTGGGATCAAGGACCCCCCAAATTGTTGCAGGGGCCTGACTGCTGCCCCGCACAGCGCCAGCTCCTCTCTCTGCTCACTGGGGCTTTCCTGGGGCTTCCCTGCAGGAGCACCTCTCCGTGAGTCACAACAGCCTTACCACACTCCACGGCGAGCTCTCCGGCCTTCCCTGCCTCCGGGTAAGTGTCCCCCTCGTGCATCCTCAGGGCTGGTGTCCCCAGTCACCTCTCAGCCAGCCTCAGGCGGTGGGGGCACACAAGGATCATCCTTGGCCACCCTGGGGGGCTCAGCAGATGTAGAGTCAGCTGCAGTCGTGCCTCTCCCTCCCTTTTCAAGGCGATCGTGGCTCGTGAAAACAGCCTGAAGAACTCGGGAGTCCCTGATGATATCTTCCAGCTGGATGACCTCTCAGTGCTGGTAGGTGCAGAGTCTCCCTGGGTAATGTGAGAGCCAGCACAGACTCCCATGTCCCGGTCCTGCTCCTCAGTGGCCCCTTGTGCCCCTTGAGGAGCACAGTGGGGCTAAGGAGCATCCAGGGGCAAGGTACAGGGCGTAAATCAGGGCTCAGCGCTGCTTGGTTCCCTTGGGAGCCAGTTCTCAGGTCTGGGTTGCTGGATGCAGGGCAGAGGGTGATTCCTGCATTGCTCTATCATTTGCCCCAGGACCTGAGCTACAACCTGCTCACAGAGTGTCCCCGGGAACTGGAGAACGCCAAGAACATGCTGGTCCTCAACCTTGGCCACAACAGGTAGAGCCAGGCCAGGGCAGCCATCTTCTCCTGGCTATGGCTCCTCCATCCATCACCCTCCTTCACTCTGTGTCCTGCTCTCTACCCCTCTTTGAGTGGGAGACTCGGGGCTGCTGCAGGTCCCAGGCAGCCCTGAAGACCCCCCTATCCCCACAGCATCGAGGCCATCCCCAACCAGCTCTTCATCAACTTGACGGACTTGCTCTACCTCGACCTGAGCAACAACAAGCTGGAGAGCCTCCCGCCACAGATGAGGCGCCTGGTTCACCTCCAGACTCTCATCCTCAACAACAACCCCCTCCTGCACGCGCAGCTCCGGTAAGGCCCCTTTTATCCAGGCTGGATCCTACAATACCGAGGCTGGGCCGGGTGCCTGCTCCAGCCCTGACGCTGTCTCTGCCCCGGGGTTCCCGGTGATGCGCAGGCAACTCCCAGCGATGACAGCCCTGCAGACCCTCCACCTCAGGAACACCCAGCGCATGCAGAGCAATCTCCCCACCAGCCTCGAGGCCCTGGTGAACCTGGCAGGTAAGGACCAGGGCACCCACCCTCACGTGGCTCTCTCTGCCCTGGCGTGGGGCTGGGGCTAGTGGCATCACCCCATTGTCTTCCCCCAGACGTCGACCTGTCCTGCAACGACCTCAGTCGTGTCCCCGAGTGCCTCTACACCCTGAGCAGCCTGCGGCGCCTCAACCTCAGTAGCAACCAGATCACGGAGCTGTCGCTCTGCATCGACCAGTGGACTCAGCTGGAGACCCTCAACCTGTCCCGCAACCAGCTCACCTCCTTGCCTGTATGTCCCTGCCTGTACATGGCATCCCTGCCTGTGCCTCTGTGCCTCCATGTTCTCCCTCACCCCGACATCTCCTCCTTCCCCAGTCAGCCATCTGCAAGCTGACCAAGCTGAAGAAGATGTACCTGAACTCCAACAAACTCGACTTTGACGGGATCCCCTCAGGCATCGGCAAGCTTGCCAACCTTGAGGAGTTCATGGCAGCCAACAACAACCTGGAGCTCATCCCCGAGAGCCTGTGCAGGTAGGGAAAAGCCCCCAGCTGGATGTGCTCTGTCTCCAGGAGAGGACACAGAGGCTGTGTGGTGATAGGGTGTCACCCTGACCTGACATCTCTGTGTCCCACAGGTGCTCCAAGCTGAGGAAGCTGGTGCTGAACAAGAACCGCCTGGTGACGCTGCCAGAGGCCATCCACTTCCTGACAGATGTGGAGGTGAGAGCCCAGAACCCCGTCTATCTCAGACTGGGTCCACCACAGCCCCAGCGTGTCCCTGGGATCACAGAATCACAGGATCATCAATGTTGGAAAAGCCCTTGAAGCTCCTCCAGTGCAACCATGAACCTCACACTGACCGTTCCCAACTCTACCAGATCCCTCAGTGCTGGGTCAACCCGACTCTTCAAGCCCTCCAGGGATGGGGGCTCCCCCCTGCCCTGGGCAGCCCATTCCAACGCCCAACAGCCCCTTCTGCACAGAAATCCTTCCTCAGAGCCAGCCTGACCCTGCTCTGAGCAGCTTGAGGCCATTCCCTCTGGGCCTGGCACTGGGTCCTTGGGTCAAGAGACTCATCCTCTCTGCACCCTCCTGTCAGGGAGCTGCAGAGGGCCAGGAGGTCTCCCCTCAGCCTCCTCTTCTCCAGACTAAACTGCCCCAGTTCCCTCAGCCGCTCCCCAGCAGACCTGTGCTCCAGACCCTGCACCAGCTCTGTTGCCCTTCTCTGGACACGCTCAAGTCATTCAGTGGCCTTTTTGTAGTGAGGGGCCCAAAACTAAACCCAGTCATCAAGGTGTGATCCCGGGGCCATAGGGTGGGATGGGCTGAGGTGAGGACAGAGGCTCTTGGGGCCAGTACCTGCAGTCTGGCACGCAGCTCAGCCCAGGCAGGTGGTGGATTTGAGGCTTCCTCCACTTTACCTCAGCCCAGGGTGCTCCGGAGTTCTCCTGTCCCACCCCACATCCTCTGTCCCTGTGAGCCCATGCTTCAGACTGGTGAAATCTTCCATCTCCTTGGCAGATCCTTGATGTGCGTGAGAACCCCAACCTGGTGATGCCCCCAAAGCCGGTGGATCGGACATCGGAGTGGTACAACATCGACTTCTCCCTGCAGAACCAGCTCCGCCTGGCTGGAGCCTCCCCCGCCACTGTTGCGGCTGCTGCTGCCGGTACGTACACAGGGAGGGCTGTGGGGCCCTGGGAGGAGGCTGGGAAGCGAGCTTTGCCCCACACGGGGATGGGGTGTCCTGGCTGCCTCCCACCCTGTCACCCTGTCCCCAGGGAGTGGCACCAAGGACCCACTGGCCCGCAAGATGCGGCTCCGGCGGCGCAAAGACTCTGCCCAGGATGACCAGGCCAAGCAGGTGCTGAAGGGGATGTCAGACGTGGCCCAGGAGAAGAACAAGAAGATAGAGGTAGCATCTGGGATGGGAGAGGGGCCCTGAGAGGCACCACGTGCCCCTGGGCCATGCCGGGGGCTGGCAGGGACCCGGTTGTCCCCAGCTTAGTGACCTGTCCCCATCCC